CCCGGCAGACCGGGGAGACGCGGAGCAAGGCCGCGGAGGATGCGGGCGGCGGGACCGCAGTGCATCTTGGTCTGCTGCCCACATCTTCCTGATCTGCTGGGGGGCAGGAGGGGGAGCAACCCAGCAGCACCCCAGCTGCTCTGCCGCAGGCAGAGCTTCCTGGAATCAGCCGCTGATCAGTTTCAGCAGCAGCTGACTTGGGGACGCCTGGGGTTCTTAAGTTGAATCTGTATCTAAGTCGGAACTGGCGTTTCAGCGGCTGAATCTGGACGCCAGTTCCGACTTACATACAGATTCAACTTAAGAACAAACCTACAGTCCCTATCTTGTACGTAACCCGGGGACTGCCTGTATTTGAGGTTTAAGAAGGCTGCTGTAACAGGTCAGGAATTTAACCATTTAAATGATTAGACAACAAGCAGGGTAATGTGGAGAAAAATTTAATGAGAAGGTGCAGTGGAATTCCATAGTTCTTTGGTATGCATATAAAACCTCAGAGATACAACACTCTTGTTCTGCAAGTGTGAAGTGAGGGATAATACGAATAGTTGACATGTGGTGGGGTTTGAGAATGTTACCCCCAACAAATGTGCACCATAATTTGGGGTAACAGAATTTGGTAAGAGTATGGGTATGTGTAAGAGTACAGTTAAAATTGTTTAATGCATCCTTTCTAGTATTTTTATTTGAGACTTTAAATCGAAATGTCCTATATTTTCATGCTGTTTTCCTCTTATACTATAATGTTCTGCAGATGCATTTTTCCTTCAAATTAGTACCCACATTTACAACCTTAACTCCAGACTAACAAAGTGATTTGTGTCCTTAAATTATACATTCAACTTCTTTGTAATATATAATGGCCCACTTACATATACAACTAATAGGTTTCTCATCATGGAGGTTGTTGGAAAAGGTATTATCTCTTGCCTCAAAAACTTAACTCTTGAGTTTTTCAGCATTATGGCAGTGAAATAGCCACCTATATTACCTAAAGAGGAAAAAAAAGAAGTTCAGTGCTGCATGTAACGTATTCATCCACACAGAATAATTATATATTTTCAGAGACCTTTCCAGTGTGCATATTCCGTATCCTAATCCATACATGTAGTTATTTTCTCATAGTAAAGAGTTGGTAAATTTAGTTTAATTTAGTTCAATCAACTAGCCAATGGATTTTCCATCCACCAGTCTATTAGTCGATAACTGGGAGAACCTCAGTGGGGTTAGCTTCCAAAGCTATCCCCAATGCGGCTCTGCCTTTTAAATGTATTAATCAGCTGTCCCAGCTCACGATGGGTCCCCCCTGCTGCACTTTAGCCTTTTAAATGTATTAAGAACTTGTTGGCTGTTAATACATTTAAAAGGCTAAAGCACAGTGGCGGGGTGATGGTGGTATGGACCCTGAGCAAGCCAGGAATCAGCTGTCTGGGCTTGCGCCTGGTCCCCCTCCGCTGAGCTTCTGATTTTTAAATGTATTAAGAGCCTATTGGCATTTAAAAAGCAGAGGCGCAGCTTCTGGGACTAGGCACGAGCTGGGAATCAGCTGATTCTCAGCTCACACTCTGTCCCCACTAGCCCCCTGCCTCCCCACAGAGATGGTTCAGGGGGGAACTAGCTTTTAAGACTGCTTCACCAAAACCAGCTCCTGCTCCCCACCTTGGCTGCCTTTCACAGAGGCGGCGGGGGAAGCAACCAGTCAAGGGACTTTTGCTTATCAGATGGTCGACTAGTCACTTACATCCCTAGTTGGTAAAATGAATTAATTTTTACTCTGTCTTTAATCTTAAATCTGTCTTTCTAAAAGAATCAAGCCAGAAGAAAGTGACAGTAAAGGTGGTTTTTCATTTATAATTTGCAAACTGAATTCCAGAATTCAGAAGCCAGGGAAATCCATTTCACGGATTCTTTCCCCTCCTTTTTTTCCTTTCAGCTTCTACCAATAGTTAAAAGCAGGGCTCGACAAATAGTGTAATCTACTCGCCATGGGCGAGTAGATTACACCCCAGAAGAGCTGGCGCGGTGCGATCTGCGCATGAGCAGAGCACAGAACTGCACAGCTGGCCCTGGTTATAGGGGTAACAAGCTATTGAGTAGTAAACAAACATTTATAGACTCTTCTACCCATTTGAAGCAGATTTCTCAAATGTTTACAGCTTCCTTTTTTTACCTGGAATGATTGTATAACTAACTGCTCTCTTCTGTAGATAACTGAAGTATGGTGGAATAACCTCCTGTAAAAACACCACATCCGGATTGTATCTGAAATCAGGACAATAAGTTTACAATATAACTTTTAAAAGAGACTAAGTTTTTCACATTGTAATGTGTCACACACACACACACACACACACACACCCACACCCACACCCACAGGAGTGAACTGGTTTTGTTTTGTTTTTTGAAGCATCTAAAACGTCTATGATGGTTTCCAAAGAATCTGTTGTGTTTGTTGGCATATAAACATGATACCATATTTGGAGGGGGGGGAAAAAAAGATTCAAATCTGTGTTTTACCAACAAGTTATTGGCCTAATTTCCTCATGTAGATCTGTATCTTGCAAACAGCTATGCATATTTCTAATTTCATGTATGTGGAGGAATTTAATTTGAGTGAAAATATAGCTTTAGTTTTGACCAATAGAAGACCCAACTTTTCTAAGTGTCCAATTAAGACCTCTCACCTTTGTGATAAACACCCAATCTCCCAGCCCAGACTGACAGGTAAAGAGCCATTTCTCTCCTAAGTCTTGTCAGCAGTAGGGGGGGAAGGGAGGAGGAGGAGGAGGAGGTGGGAACTTGTCTGTTCCCCCGCACGTAAATGTGTAACCATTGTAAATTTCCGCAGTTATACGTTTACAAAATTAAACACATTTTAACATCCCTAGTAACAATACTTACAGTGCTAAATAAGAGCAAACTCCTCTAGCTCTCTCTTGTTGATTTCCTAGATCCAGACCATCAATATTCCAGGTAATTAAAGAGAATCTACTGTCATCTTCTTGTTGCACGCAGTCTGCCTTGTTGGCATCAGCACTACTAGTAGTAACATCTGTAGTCAGATCAATACTAAAAAAAATATTTAAAAGTTTTAATTACAGTAGATGGACGTTTCTGCAGGGGAAATGCTCTATCTTCTAATGTAAGACATTTTTAGACCTCCTCAATTAAAAACCTTATTGAAAATACCACAAAAATTAACAATTAAGTATCCAATTTAAGAAACATTTAAAATAGACTGAATGAAAACATGTCAGTCACTTGGTGTATTTAGTATGTAGCTGTAATGAATTTTTTTTTTCACTGCACACACAAGACAAAGGGCCTGATTCTGATTTTAAGTTAAGCTGATAGAAACTAATTTAAAATTTTCCCCACACCTTTTAATCACCAAGGATTCAGAATGTGAAGATACATGAAAATATCTGAGCAAGTTTAATATTAGAAATAAACATATAAAAAATAATGTGCACTTAGTTTTATAAACCTGTGTTCTGAAACTACTGTGACCCCTCTGTACATGTACATCGCTGCTAAAACATTAATGACTCTGGGCATGTCTAGACTACATTCCTCTGTCGAAAGAGGGATGTAAATGAGCCTGATCGAAAGTGCAAATGAAGCGCAGATTTAAATATCCTGCGATTCATTTGCATGTTCGCATCCAATCGCTGTTCCGAAAAAGGGTATTCGAAAGTGAAGCCAGTCTAGACACGGTTCTTTAAAAAAAACAACACACACCACACACCCCTTTTTCGAAAGACCTAAAAAAAAAGACTCCTAAAGAAATGAGGAGTACGGGTTCTTTCGAAACAGGGTTTTTTTCCCCCCAAAAGAACCACGTCTAGACTGTGGCTTCACTTTCGAAATACTCTTTTTCAGAACAGCGATCGGACGCGAACGTGCAAATGAAGCGCATGATATTTAAATCTGCGCTTCATTTGCACTTTTGATTGGGCCATTTACATCCCTCTTTTGACAAAGGAATGCAGTCTAGACGTGGCCTCTATTTTGCCATATTTCTTTGAGAAGAAACACCCCAGTCCTCAGTGTTTCACAGACTATGTCCTGTCTACCCTATAAACTTTTCTCAGATTAATCAGTATACTTCTACAATGTACCCAGATTGTATTGCCATATGACCAGTTTTCTTGAGAGGATGAGAGCAAGCCATGCTCAAAACCTTGTTGAAGAGGTGTGTGCCAGTTCAAGTTCCTATAGTAAAGAAAAAGGCTGTAGCTTGTCCCCATCAAAACTGGCAAGACAAGCTCAAATGGTCTTTTAGGAAAGTTGGGACACTGGGATTTAATCATACTGCTAAGGCACAACAAATATATAGTGAAGACAGAACCAATGACCAAACATTTCCTCTCTCTAACTGCTAAACAGTAGTAAGTTACTTATGGCACTGTTGCTATGCTTGGTACTTTAAGAGTAAATATGGAAAGATCCATGCCTTAAGAAACTTCAATCTAAACTGGACAAAGAGATCTAGAAAAGGGTGTGCCCCAGGGATGTAACAAAGTAAATGAGTGCAATATTGGTCATGCATTTTCAAGACTTTCCTGCCAAGATTAAATTTGATGGTTGTACTATAATTTGAACTCACATCATCATCTTTTTCATGTAGCTGTAAGAACACGGGAGTCTGCTTAGTGGTGGAAAGCTAAGCAAAGTAATGTATTTTCTAAAAGGTCCTGGAGAGGGAAATTATCCCAGATATAGACCATGTCTAAAATAGGATTTTTCTAAGATTTCCCAGTATTACCACTACCAATTCACTAGTGGAAGCTAAGTGTATGCTGTGCTCTAGCTTGCAACCTGTGCCCCACGTACACTATTCTGTCAATACTCAACTGGTGATAGTGAGAAATTTTAGCAAAAAAGTATTAGGCATGGGAAAGTTTTACGCACATTTATTTCTGTATGAATGGCTTGTGTACAGTTGAGCCTAAATAGACTGGAAAGAGGTGGCAGTTAAACTGAAATAAGCTGCTATTACACAAAAATAAGATCAACCGTACAAGGGTGTGCAACTTTAATAGGTGCAATTACTTAAAACTTGTAAGTGTTTGTCAGTAGGATAGCTTTTTAGAAAGCAATGCTTGCATTCTAGACAACAGTGTAGGTGGTAGAGGCTGGGGAGACAACAGGCAGTAGTCTGAAAGGTTCAAAAACTGTATATGAATAAATATAGAAGTGTTTACCTTAGGAAAACCATGCTAAATTATATTGTTTTAGAGTAATTTAAATAAGATAGTTCGACTAGCCAGCATGATTTGCCAGCTATGATCAGACACCTGAGGATGGCTGTTGTCAGTTGACTTCGCTCAAGCTGCTAAAGGGCTGTCTAACTGTGGTGAAGACAGTTGAGCTAAAGTATGGGCTCTGGGACCCCACCCAAATGTCTATCTCACAATTAAAATAGTACCATAGAATCATAGAATACTAGGACTGGAAGGGACCTCGAGAGGTCATCAAGTCCAGTCCTCTGCCCTCATGGCAGGACCAAATACTGTCTAGACCAGTGGTCCTCAATCATTTGAGGCTGCCGGGTGCCGGGGGCGTGGCTGTTCGCCCGCCGGGCGCCAGAGGGCAGGGACACTTGCGTGCCCGGGGCCGGCGCCCCTTCTCCCCCACCCCAAGCGCTGCGCGCCCAGAGCGCGGGTGGCCAATCCGCAGTGCTCCCGGGGCTGGCGCTCACCGTGCGCCATGCGCCCGGGGCCGGCTCCGGCACCATGCATGCGCCCCGTGCCTGGGGTCAGGCCAGCCCTGAGCACTTGGCGGGTGCACACAAATGCCCCCGCGGGCGCCATGGCATAGACATGATAGACATTTATCTAACCTACTCTTAAATATCTCCAGAGATGGGGATTCCACAAGCTCCCTGGGCAATTTATTCCAGTGTTTGACCATAGTCCAAACCCCATGAGTCCAAAGAGTTGACAGGTCAGCTGCGGATTTTTTATTGTAGAGTAGATACTTCTTAACGCTTAGTCTACACCAGTGTTTCTCAACCAGTGGTCCGAGTACCCTCAGGGGTACTCAAGAGAAGCCTGGAGGGTACTTCCACACAACTGAAATTTGGAGAAAACTGAATTTTTGTTTTAAGTTTCACAGCACTTCATTATTTTTGTACTTTTTACACCCAAAAATTTCATCGCCTGCCTGGCTACAATTGAGTTGTAATGGGAGAAACAAATGTGTTGCAATGGGAGAAAAAAAATTGTGTATGTCTGAAAACTGTAAGTACTGGGGGTACTTATAATTTGTTTTAAATTTTTTTGAAAAAGGGGTACTTTATAAAAAAAAGGTTGAGAAACGCTGGTCTACACTATGAGGAAAGACCCATCTGAGTTGTACAACTTCAGCTATGTGAATCCATTCTCACTGCAGTGATTGCAGGTGCCGAAATTAGGGATGTAAAATCACGGTTAATCAGTTAACTGGTTAAATATTAGTTTGCCCCAATGTTTAACCAGTTCACTAACCAAGATCCGGGCTGGGGACTGCTCCAGCCCAGTTTGAACAGCTCCCAGCCCACAAGGTTCACAGATCCCAGCCCCCACATTGGAGCTGGCTGCCAGCTCTCAGGTCCGTCCCCTTCCCCCCCGCATCTCCCCCCCACTCCTGGGGCGGACTGCTGGCTCCTGGTCCCCCACTGATGGTGGGGCCAGGCTTCCCATGGACAGAAGCTGTTCTGGACAAGAGCAGCCCCAGCCTGTGTCAGGTCAGGGAGCTGCTCCAGCCCCCTACCCAACTACAGGGTAATTGGAACCAGTAAGCAGTACCCATTTAGGGTGATGCATATCTATTAAGTGATTGAACTTTCACATCCCTAGTGCTCATCTACCAGCAAGTGTACACAAACCCTAAGTTAGCATGTGATTTAACTATCCATTATCCTAAGTACAAATGGCTGCCTGTAGCTCTTCCCCACCATTTTAAACTCAACTGTCCACACCAGCAGGCCATATTGTGCTATGACTTAGCTGAACAAGACACTTTTTAAAGCATGCAATGAATGGCTGGCAACACTGCCTCAGATTAATCACAGTACATTTATATCAAAATGAAATTTCCTCTTTTCATTGTGGTTTTACACACACCTGTGTTAGACATAAAAGATTCCTCAAAAAAAGGCTACAGTTTGCTGATTGACAGACATATACTAAATCCATCACAGAGTCTGGGACAGTAGGACTGCCTAATTGCATTCAACTTAGTTATGATCATATGCAACAAGTGTGCACAGTTGTCAGCCATACCTGCATGCTCATGACTCAACTATCACCCAGCTGAAGGCATGCAAAACATCCTCCTTAGGACCTAAGCAGCCTTCGTGGTGATAGACTCCCTGACATAATGCAGGTCAGGAACCTAGGACTACTACTTAGCCTCTCATTTCCACACACTGCAAAACACACGCCAGCTGATCCAGGCACAGAGCGGTGCAGCTCAGATATTATGCTGGGAAGACGGCTTAAGGGACAGTTTCAGACCTGGTTTAAAAGGTGGTCTCAGGCAGACAAGGGTGACTTTGTTGGCACTAGGCACTGCACGCATCAGGTTAGGCACCTTGGGTACCTTTATTATGTGTTCCTTTGGGAGTCTGCACAGAGGCGGTAGGGTGGGGGACAGAGGAGGACAAACAAGCAGGGGCTCAGACAGACAGACAGACACACGTGATGCACAGACGGGGGGGGGGGGGACAAAAAAAAAAAAAAAAAAAAAAAAAATTTTCAACAAAAAGACTCTGCTGGCTGATCTAAGAAGAATAAACTCAAAGCTCTTCTCTAAGTGCTAGCATTTTACATTATACATTTCTTTGCTGTCTGCACAGAAGAGGCTTTGGGATTTCTGAATGTTCTTCCACTCCAACACTGTACTTATTTACTTTCTCTGTATTTATTTATTGGGGGTGGATGGGGAAATAGGGAGAGGTAGTACCTCTGTTGGAAGAACATGTCAAGCTCCTCTGGGAGTAGTTCATCTGCTTTGGTCCCCATCCCACCTAGCTCTCACCTGGGGCCCCAAGTACCTGTTTGCATGTGACAGCAGCTCCATCCCAGCAAACTGCTTTGTGAGGTCAGCTGATGGGTCTTTTGTTTTTGGTGAGATAGGGACACTGTCTCTCTCCAGCATGTAAAGACTGCTTTGGTGGACTGGGCAAAGGAAAACAATTTGTGATTTCACAGCAGAAAGGCAGTTCAACAATATGCTGTGGGGCATGATAAGATGTCCTTGTCACCCACTGTGGCTAAGGAAGTTCCTAACAGTAATGATTCTTTGTGCTACTGGAATCTGGTTTCCACAGCCGAAAAAGTGGGACTGCCCAGGTGCAACAACTTTCCAACTTAAACATTTCCCACACAGGTTCTCGCAATTCTCATCCCATTAACATTATATCAAATATCATCATCATCATATGATTAATTCAAGTCCTGTAGTGATGGGGGCATGGCAAAGCAACAGGTGGAGATGACCACTCGCACTCATAGCTATAAACCTGTACATAGGTGGCCTTGGGTTTAATGGCCATCCAGCTCCATGCCTGGGCAATGGAGAAGTTAGGCAGCATCCTAGGTGACTGAGCAGCCATTTTTAGCATAGCACTGCTCAGCCTATTTAAGGAAAGAGTCTAGAAAAAGTGCCCTAAACATTGTTCACAATCTCTTGGTAGACTACTGTGGCTGGCAGATCATGCAACAGTGGTTGAAAACGGGAACGTTCGGCCCGTAGAACTTGGGGAATCGAGGGGCGGGGCGAGCCCAGGCTGCTGCGGCTTCCAGGGGGCGGGGCGAAAGTCACCCGGGCTCTTCTTGCTGCAGCTGGCGCGCGGGGCTGCCCCAGGCGGGTGAAGGGCAGAGGGAGCGCGAAGGGCGTCGCAGCCTGGCTTCTGCTGACACCATGAGCTCTCGCACCGTGCACTCCTTCCGGGAGATCATGCAAAGCTTGCTGAGCTCCCCCAACTTTGATCGGGTCTTAAGTAAGGTACAGTTGAAAGTCACCCGGGCTCTTCTTGCTGCAGCTGGCGCGCGGGGCTGCCCCAGGCGGGTGAAGGGCAGAGGGAGCGCGAAGGGCGTCGCAGCCTGGCTTCTGCTGACACCATGAGCTCTCGCACCGTGCACTCCTTCCGGGAGATCATGCAAAGCTTGCTGAGCTCCCCCAACTTTGATCGGGTCTTAAGTAAGGTACAGTTGTAGGAGGTGCGCGTGTTTGGGTGAGAGGGTAGAGATTATAGATGCGGGTTTGGCTGAATTTGGGTTTTTAGTATCTAATCCTGATGGATTTTAGCAGTGTTTACTTTAAAACATTTTTCTGTATTTAAATTTTCAAAGTTCTCGAAAACTATGGCAGTAGTTGGATAATGATTATTTGACTGTAGCTATTGAGGTTCAAAAAGCTAGAGCACAGATTGTCAACAACACATGTCAAAGTGTGGAAAGTAAATAGCAGCATTTTCCTTACGTTAATTAGCTATACATTTTGATTATTATGGATGGAAATATTTTACTGATAAAAATCCAGTCTATCTATGCCAGTTGTTTTTAATTTGCGATCCGCAGACTCTTTGGGCATCCACAGACTATAAGGAGTCAGCAACAGGTTGGCATTACCATAGAAGAGTAGTTTTAAACGTATAGTCTTCAGACTATATCTAAGATGTGTAAAGGAGTCTGAACCTCTAGTTGAAATATTTTAGAAGTCCATGAATGAAAAAGGTTGAAAATCGTTGTTGTAAGCTTGTATTAAGGATGTGAATGGGTAACTGGTTAACAAGCATAGCTATGGGGGCCCGGCAGCCCCAAGCATCCCAAGCACAAGGAGAGCGGTAAGAACTGGAGCTGGCTGCGCAAGCATATGGCAGCCCGCAGCCCCAAGTACTGGGTTGCTGGAAGCAGCAGTCCCATGCACAGAGAGCACGATCCTGTTTAATCAGTTACTAAGTTTTAACCAGTTAATTTATTAACTGGGGTTTTACATTCCTAGCTTATATATGAGGCCACAATCACTGTCTTGGGAGACTTGCAGGTTAGCAGGAATCTCTTCATTCTAGGAGTTGCAAGTGCAAAATCAAGGCCAAAGAGTATGATCCTGCAAGCTCTCCCATGAATACCCCTTCCTCACAAGAGAATTTAGTGGGATGAGTTGCATAATTTAGGTCTATTCTTGTGAATAAAGGTATGCAGGCTCTAGTCCCACAGTGTCCAGTCAATTCTGAAGAGGATTATCCACACTCAACCGTCCATATAGCCATATGTGGCTATGCGTTGGAAACCATAGCATTGTCCCAATTAGTCAGTATACAGAAAAAGGGATGAGAATGTGATGAAGTAATATTTAGACAGACTCCTGACTTTCTAAACTCCTGGGCTATGTCTACACTCACGGCTTCTTGCGCCAGTAATATGCAAATGAGGCTAAGCATGGAATATCGCCGAGCCTCATTTGCATACCTAATGAGCCACCATTTTTGCAGAAGAGGCTTTTGCGCCAGAAGGAGCTGTCTACACTGCCCCTTCTTGCGCAACAAAAATCCTCCTCCGCAATGCCGTTCTTCCTGAAAAGTAATCGGCGTAATGGCATTGCACATTGCGCAAGAGGGCTTTATTTCCATGCAGCACTGCTGGATGTTCCTGGTGTATGCTTTTTCCTCCTTTGCCCTATGTGATTTTGGCATAGGTATCAGCATTTCTTTTGCTGCTTCATAGTTCTGCCTGAACAGAGTCCTCTCTCCACACAACAGTCTGGTCCAGAATCTCCTTCGTGCTCCATGCTGGAGCTTGTTTGTGACACTGGACATTCATGATCAGGTGTGCTGCCTATTCTGCTCACCACGGTGACCAAACAGAAAATGAATTTTTTCCTGGTGCATTTCCTGTGCACCTGGAGAACAGCGGAGTTGAAAGTGCTGGCCAGAGTTGTCACATCAGGGCACTATGGGACACCTCTTGGAGTCCAATAATATTACCTTTCAAAGTTCTGCATATGCACTACTGTAAAGTGAACCATGCAAGGTTGAATTTACCGTTACTCCTTTCAACAACCAGGAGTACAGAAGTAGACTTTAACAGCCCTTAATGTCAGCGGAATTGGCATGGTCATGTGGACTCATTGTTTAGAAAACCAACCTAATGCTGCTAAGTTTAACCTAAACTCCTGGTGTAGACTCCAGGCCTTTAAGTGTGTTGATACAGGAAATTATACCCATGTAATTATACCAGTAAATTCCCTATGGTGAAGCCCTGAATATGTTGGGCTAATGTTACTGAATATTAATTGCTGTTGCTTCACTTTAAGGATTACTCATGTGTTCCTGATTTTCATTCTGTCAACAAGAGGCAACATGACTATGCTAGCCATCTATACCGTGGGGGAAAGCAAACACTTACTAGTAACTTTGCATTAGCTTTACGCCAAGTATAAAGTCAGACAAGTAAACTTTCCATTTCAGTAGATGCTGGCTCTTAAAAAACCACTGAAAGATGAAGATGATGCAAAAAACTGACTGTGTATATTTGAGAGAGAAGGTGGATGAGGTTAATATCTTTTATTGGATCAACTTCTATTGGTGAGCGAGACAAGCTTTTGAGCATACACAGCTTTTCTGTAGGTGGAGATTGTCCAGTAAAATATATTATTCACTCATCTTGGGTCTTTGATATCCTGAGCACCATGTCTACCACAACACTGCACACAATGTACATATTTGTTTTTATAAATGGTACGTATTTCCCTAGGGAAACAATTTGCAACTATAGATTTATAGAAAAATTTGTCTTGATACTTAAACCATAATGTTTTAGTCCTTTATTTTTCCCCTCCTTTCATTAGTCTAAAAACTGAAACAAGATTTACTTTCATCATGATCTATCTACTTTGAGAACAGTAACTAGACTTGTAATTGTCCATATGTTTCCTCTTATTGAGATTTTGAATTAACATAATTTTGTTCCTCCTTTCTATTTGTTCAGATGACAGTTCTTTCTGCAACTCCTGGAAAGGTTGTTTGTGAAATGAAAGTCGAGGAGGAGCACACCAACAGAGCTGGCACTTTACATGGAGGTTTGACTGCCACATTAGTGGATGTTGTGTCAACAGCAGCACTGTTATACACAGAAAGAGGAATGCCTGGCGTCAGTGTGGATATGAACATTACGTATGTATTGAACATGCTTACTGGGAAATGTTAAATTTAATGTTTGATATATTCTATTAAGCAGGTCCTGGATTCTGCTAAGTTTTTGTTTCATGATCTAGCCCCCACTTCAGTGACCAATTGCAATCTATTCTGAAAGAACAACTCCTAATAAACTCAGTATAGATCTGGCTTGGGACTATCATGTGGTTGAGACCCTAGTTTGAGGCAGCTAAATGTTCTTTAAGCTCCCTTTTTTTATGATGTTTGGTTTAATGCTATTAATTGCAGTTAACTCACGCGATTAATTTTAAAAAATCATGTTTAAAATTAATCAAAATGTTAATTGCACTATTAAACAGAATACCAATTGAAATGTACTAAATATTTTTGATGTTATTCTACATTTTCAAAAATAGATTTCTATTGCAACACAGACTATGAAGTGTACAGTGCTCGCTTTATATTTTATTATAAATATTTCCTCTGTAAAAATGATAAGCATTTTTCAATTGACTTCATACAAATACTATAGTGCAGACTCTTTATCATGAAAGCATAACTTAGAAATGTAGATGTTTGTTGTTGTTGCATACCTGCACTTAAAAATAACATGGAAAAACTATAGATTCTACAAGTCCACTCAGTCCTACTTCTTGATTAGTCAGTCGCTAAGATAAACAAGTTTGTTTACATTTACGGGAGCAAATGCTGCCCATTTCTTATTACCTTGTCATAAGAAGCTGAGAACAAGTGTTCTCATGGGGCTTTTTTAGCCAGTATTTATGAGCCAGATCTGCTAAACATTTGTATGGTCCTTTATGCTTTGGCCACCATTCCAGGGGACCTGCTCTATGTTGATGATGATCTTTTAAAAAAAAAAAAAGTGATAATTCGGTTTGTTACAGAACTGCTTTGGGGGAAGAATTGTACGTCTCTGGCTCTCTTGTACAACAATCTGGGGGTAAATTTCATATTATAGTAGTCTCCAGTAACACATTCGCTGCAGATATGATAAAACCCAAAAAAAGTATCAATCTGAGATTTTTTGAAGGTAGCCACATTACTCAATATCATATTTAAGCATCTGAACTGCCTTCCAATATTTGAAGGGGACAAGGTGGGGGGGCATGCTTTCAGAAGTCTTAAAAGAGCAACATTCCAAACCACCAAAAAAATCTCCGGCCTTCTGCTAGTGGTCTTGTCACAAGAGGGCACTGTTGCAAGGGTGATCTGTCCATACAAGAGTCCCATAGGCTGGGCTTACACAGAACAATGAATTCACAGCAGACAAAATATGCCTTTAACAAACGTTATTACAAACAATTAAGAAGCAGTTCAAAAGCAAGGTTTAAATCTAGTAGTTAGCAATTCGAAAGCAGGTCAAAGCAATGTTTAACTTGAATAGTTAGTCTAATTCTTAATCCAGATTTGATACAGACTCGCACATTCTCACACACACCACTCCTCCTCTGGGGCTGGCCACACCCCAGGTTATGTTGGTTAATTTGGGTGAGGCAGAAGTCCAAAGTGCACGTCACCCCAATATGCCAAATCGTTAGACTCTGGTCCCTGTGGCAAATTGGTGTGGTATATAGCCCCTCAGTGAGGGACAGTTCGAGTGGGGGAACTCCCTGCTTACAACACCCAATTCTACTCACCAAGCCACGAGCAATAAGCAACGGAATGTCCTTGGTCAAGTTCTTTCCTGACTCACTTCACTGACTCCTCTTATTTGAGAACTTTGCCTCCTTTGTTCAGTTTTGCTTCCTTCTGCCTACACAGTCTTTTTCTCAAAGTGATAAACAAGTCCATAATCCATCGGGGCACTGACTCGAACCCTAGTATGGCCTCTCTTCAGCTCACTTACTTTTCACTCATGCCAGCCATTCACACAACCCATGATTCTTGACAGTCTCTCACTCAGATGATAAAAATGAACATGTGTTGGTTCACATTGCTTTCGATTGTTAAGAAGATCCTGTTATCAGCCTGAACACATGTCCTCTGGAATGGTGGTTGAAGCATGAAGGGAAATATGAATCTTTAATGTATCTGGCATGTAAATATCTTTTGATGCCAGCTACAACAGTGTCATGTGAATGTCTGTTCTCTTTTTCAAGTGATGTTACACACAAGAAGCAGGCAGCATTATCTCTTGCATATGTAAACATTGTTTTGTCTGAGCAATTTAGGATGGAGTGGACTTGTAGGCACTAAAGTTTTACATTGTTTTGTTTTTGAATGCAGTTATTTTTTGTACATAATTATGTGTGTGTCAGTTCCACTTTCATGATAAAGCGATTACACTGCAGTGCTTGTATTAGCTGCACTGAAAAATCTTATTTACAAATTTATAATAAAAAATAAAATGAGCACGCTACACTTTGTATTCTGTGTTGTGATTAAAACCAATATATTTGAAGGTGTAGAAAACATCCAAAAATATTTAAATAGAATTCTGTTTAACAGTGAAATAACACAATGTTATTTTTAATCATGTAATTAATCATGATTTTAATTGCTTGACAGGCCTAGATTTATGCCTTAGTTACTTTCAGATAACAAAGTCCAAATTCTATACTTTTCTCATGCATGACATTTCAGAGGGAACCGTGTAGGCTCTGCATGAGGAGAAGTTGCATAATTCAGGCCTCTGAAAAGATGCAAGGGATTAATTGTGAACGGATTCTGGTAGCTCTTTTAAAAAAATGTTTTAAATAAATATATGTTGCTGGATTTGAAGTATTTTATATCTATAACAGTTCTGTTTTTCATTCAAGATACATGTCTGCTGCTAAGCTTGGAGAAGAGATATTGATCACTGCTCAGATTTTGAAGCAAGGAAGAAATCTTGCCTTTGCCAATGTGGATGTAACAAACAAGGGAACAGGAAAGCTTCTAGCACAAGGCAGACATACAAAATACCTTGGACATTAATATAAGAAATTCTATCTGAAAAGGAAAGCGTGCTTAAGAAGCTAGCAGTTTTTTCTCTTTTTTTGTAATGTAAACTTTATCAAAAATGAATTGATCTCAGTCCCATGCCTAGTGCACAAGTTGTATATGGCACTAATTCTGAGCCTGTTGCAGTCCTGGTAGAGACACCAAGAACTGAAGAGACATGGATATCCATCTACTTTTTCTGTGTATGAAGATAAGGTCAGGGTTCAGGATCACTGGTGGAACTGTGTGGGGAACCTTGTTTTTCTGCTCTCTAGTCTGTGCCTCATGAAAATAAGTTTCCAGTCTCCAGGGTTGTCAGTTTATAACTTTTCAAAAATTAAAGCAGTTATCAAACTGTATTTTTTTTTGTCCTATGCTGTAAAGTGGTATTAAAGTAACCGGTGTTATAAATGCAATATTCCTGTTTAATTATTCATCTGAAATAAGACTATTTTGCAAATGGAAAACAGAATACAGTGAGAATATAGCTGATAGGTATTTGCCAAATGACTTAATTGAAAATAATTCAATACATTTGCGTATACATTTAATAAAAGCTCTCTTACTACTATACTACTACTACATTTTTAAGTACGCTCATTCAGGTCCTGTGAAGAAACTGTTTACTCTGTGGAAAGTTGTATAATTATATTTTGCTTCTAGACCACTGTTTTCTAGAGCAGTGGCTGATGACCTCTGGGGATGGAATTACGTGTCACAATGCAATCAGGAGGGTTGAGAGGTGTAGGACATTTCGTAATCATTCTGAAGCAAAGAATGGTTCCAGAATAACTTTGGGGCAGCCAAAACCTCCAAAATGTTTGAGGTCAAATACCGTATATTCCGGCGTACAAGACGACCTCTGATGTTAAAAAACATCCCCCAAAAATCGGGGGTCGTCTTGTACGCCAGGTATACATCCCAGGCGCGCCTGGGATGCCCCACCGCCGGCTTCCCCCGAGGCTTTCAAAGCTGCTGCGGCTTTGCTCCCGGTGCCTCTGGTCTGCTGGGGACCATCTCCAGCAGACCAGGGACACCGGGAGCAAAGGAGGCAGAGGGGCGCTGGGATATAAGATGAAACCCTATCTTTTAATTAAAAAAATAGGGGGTCGTCTTATACGCCCAGTCGCCCTATACGCCGGAAAATACGGTAGTAGTTGTATTATATAGGGCTATAATTTTTTTAAAGTTCTTTAATATTAAAAAGCCCATTCATTTCTTGCTTTATTTTTTTATATATTATTTATATATAATTCTAATTCCTATTTTTGCCATTTAATTCATTTTTTAAAAGTTTTCCAGACATCAATGGATATTCCATTTACAGAATGATAATACATTAACCATTTAGTGAAAATCAATTTAGTTATTTTAATGAATAGTATCACACCTACTTTGTTTTAACTGACTGGAAGAAAATCTCCCATTCTGCACTCATATATACCTTTGTCTAAGGTGAGTTGTTGCTTTATCTGTACACTGAAACAAATCAAGCTCTATATCATGCCACCTAATAAAGTTCAGGCCCTTCCTACTTGTAATCAGTTTTGCAAAAGTTGACAAAATTCTGAGACTAGAGTTAGAAAGTCATTAGTGAGATGTGAACTGTTGCAGTACAATTTAGCCACTGCCCTCTAGTCATCATCAGACACAACTTCCATTTTCTTCATTGCAGCTAATGCTGGTGAGGTGGAGAGAATGAGCAGGTCTCTATTCAAAAGGCATCTGCATGGTTTTAGAAACAGAATTTAGCCTGCAGTGTGACAGTCTTCCTGTGTAATGACTGCAGGATCAGACCCTTGGCATTAACTTTTGTTGTAATTCTAATGCAATCATTCATGTTGTATTCTGCCTCCACTGAAACATTTTAAAATATTAGGCACTATTGGTAGGGATGTTAAGTTTAGATTAATTAACTAATCAAATAGCCGATGGGATTTCCATCAACCAATCGATTAGTCAATAAGGGCACCTCTGTCTTAAAAGCAGAAGTCCCGCAGGAAGCACGGAGCCAGTGGAGGACTCCTCTATTGTGCCCGTGCTTCCTGCAGCGCTTGACCCTTTGAAATGTACATGAGCCCCAGCAGCAAGGGCAGGGGAAAGTGACTAGTCGCATCACTAATCAGCTGTCCAATAAGCTCCTGCTTATCGGATAGTCGACTAGTCGCTTACATCCCTATTGTTAAACAGGCCACTTGTTTTGGATGAATTTATTGTAACTGATTTTAAACTGTCTTTGAATACTTACACGCCTCAAAATGAATGCAATTTTAATAATGAAAAGGGGAAGAATTGCTTCAAAATGTTAAGTGGTGTTGGTACTTAATAGGTGTTATATTCAAATCTCTCATCTGGGTCTGTAGATGCCAACTGTCTAGGATTGCCCCGAAGACTCCAGGAATTAAAGAAGATCATGTGATGAAGCCTTCAGAAATAGGCAGTGCTACACTACCTGTTTACTGAGGTAAACAGTTAAGGCTACGTCTAGACGGGCATGATTTTGCGGAAATACTTTTAACGGAAAAGTTTTTCCGTTAAAAGTATTTCCACAAAAGAGCATCTAGATTGGCAAGGATGCTTTTGCGCAAAAAGTGCTTTTGCGCAAAAGCATCTGTGCCAATCTAAATGCACTTTTGCGCAAGAAAGCTCCGATGGCCATTTTAGCCATGAGGCTTTCTTGCGCAAAAAATTAAGGGGCCTGTCTACACTGGCCTTCTTGTGCAAGAGGGCTTATCCCTGAGCAGGAGCGTGAAAGTATTTGTGCAAGGAGCACTGATTTTGTACATTACAAAGTCAGTGCTCTTGTGCAAATTCAAGCGGCCAACGTAGACAGCTGGCAAGTTTTTGTGCAAAAGCAGCTGCTTTTGTGCAAAATTTTGACAGTCTAGATGCATCCTTAAGATTTTAAGGAGCTCATTACTTTTTATGTCACACATTCTCCTTTCATTTTATTTAAAAAACAATAGTTACTTTGGGGAAAACTGACTAATTAGTCTGAAGTGTCATCTTTGGGTGTCAAGTAATTTAACAGTATTTGAAGCATTGCAATTTAGAATTAAATTTGTGCTAATTACAAATTAAGTTCCATTTAGAACAATCTGGAAGCTTGTGAAAGGTACTTGTAATTTCCTGAACTGTTTTGAGTGTTGTCTCATTTTTTAATTAACCCCTGACTGGCAAAAAAAAGAGTAGTTAGTGCTAGTGGATAACTGGATCTCTGATTGCCTGCTCATTACCCATTGGCTTCTGTCTAATACTCATTTCAAACTTAATTTTCTGAGTCTTATGGAAATAAAGCTCAAGGGAAACAAATCATTACTAGCAACAATGAATTGGTTGCGGATACAAGAGGTGAGCTGTTGTTATATGGACACAGCAGAAGTATTATGCTCTAGATTGGGGTGGAGGTCCTAAGTCAATCATCACCAACCAGTAGAGCCTCTAACAGGTGATCCTGACTGGTTTGGCCAGGAGGCTATCAAGTTCCAGTTCTTCAGCTGCCCCCTGCTGCACATCTCCTGCCCTTTGCCTTGGAGCTGTTTCCTTCTCCCACCCTGTATTCTATCTCCACAAACAGAGGGAGTCTGTAGGATACTTTTGAGAGTGGTGCAGGGGGTGAGCCTTCCTTAGTCCCACTGCACCACCACAGAGGAGCCACCTGTGGCTGTAGGATGGAGTTTGTTGATTGCTTTTGGGAATGGTGCAGTGCCAGGGCACCTAAGACCAGAGCCTGCTTCCTGGTGAAAGTGAGGGAGGATGGAGTGAACAGGAGTGGGGCCTTGGAGAAGAAGCACAAAGGAGGCAGGGCAAGGCTATCTGGGTTTGAGGTAGATCTTGGATTGCACTTAAATTCAAAAAATGATCTCATGCTTAAAAAGGTTGGAGAACACTGACCTAAGGCCTGAGGACAGGATGCAGGCTTCAGTTTGCCTGAATCCAGCCCCCTGAGGCTCTGGGCTCCCCAGCCATGAGCTCCAGCTCCCCTAGCTCTCCCCCCACGGGGCTAGAGCACACAAAATCTATTAGCCTGGGACCCCATATCTGGTGTGTGAGAGGGAAAGTGGGGAGTCTCTCATTTTCAGTTCAGAGGCCATGTAAGTGAGGGAGTTTTGGTTTGATGGGTTTTTTTGTTGGTGGTAGTGGGTGGTAGGTTTTTTCCCCCTCTCACTTGTAGGTGGCCTCTAACACTTTTTTGTGGATCAGCAGCCCCCAATCCAAGAAAGATTCCCAAACTCTAGATTAAGAAGCACATGTAATAAGTTTCTCCATACCTTCTCTGCATGAGTGTTCTCTTCAGTCATCTGACTTTTCTTATTGCTACCCAAATCCTTTTGCTGTGCTCATGAGGTCTCTCTTATTTTCATCACATCCTTTGCCCTAATTAGTCCACAATAGTTCTGCTTGGTCTGATAATTTTTACTCACTTGTCTACATTCTTACTTTAAATATTCATGACAGAGTTTATGGCTATGACTACACTACAAGTTTTTGCGGCAGAGAGTATGCTAATGACAGACTCATTAGCATGAGTCACGACGTCATGACCATATTTTCTGCCAATGCTTTTTGCACAAAAAGAAGCAGTGTAGCCGCTTCCATTTTGTGCAAAAAAAAATGCTTTTGTGCAAGATCCTTAATTGATAGCGTGACTCATGCTAGTGAGTCCGTCATTAGCATACTCTCTGCCGCAAAAACCTTGTAGTGTAGAGAAAGCCTATATGTATAACCTTTTAAATAAAATAGAATTTGCACTTATTTATATTGCACTCTGAGAGGGTAAGATTATGATATCCCTACTCTGAATAAGTTTCCCATATTGAAATTACTGGAATTTCTTAAAATAGGAAACTAGTTCTTTCTAAAGAGACCAGAAACTGAGTGCAGATTAGTCATATATACATCAGTATAATATTAGTAACAACTATGAGAGAGAGAGAAATATCACATCAAACTTCACTAAAAATGATTGAAGCTAATAAGTACAAAAATGCCATATCTGAACAGTTTAAAAACTTTTTCACCATCTGGGTTTATAACAGCAAACACAGCAAAAGATTGAGTAATATTTTTGGACTTCCAAAGTATCTAGGTACAAAAAGTTTATGGCTAAGAATGTAAGGTCAACCTGCTAAATTGCATGCTAGACATTTTTTCCAGCATTAGAGGTGGTTGGAAACTGTAAAAATTCAGATTTCTATGAATTTCTCGTGTTCTCTGTCAGTGTTTCAACTAACTGATAATAACCTTTTAAAAAAAGGTGTGAAAATGTTCAGTTTGCTTATCAGTTTCTCTTTACTTTCCTCCAGCTCAGGAACTCCTGCATTTCTGATTATATTCTGGATTAAAATAAACTTGCCCATATTTGATTCAAACAGTCCCACAACATTATTTTTGTAATATTTGCATGTAAAATTTT